CGTTATTGTACTAATAATAATATCAATAGTTTAGCATATATATCAGGCACAAGTTAGGATACTAATCTTTGAGCTACACATAATTTTGATGGCCCAACACTACGACTCAATTACCAAAACCTTGTAGGGCCTGGTACTGTGTCAAGTCCACATAGGTTATTCTAGCCTCTGGACAAATCAATTTATTCATTCTTCTCAAGCTACATTTTGACCTTGTTAATTATTAGCTTATCAACCTTGGCTGGTTTTATGTAAGTATATACGTGTACATTTATTATCTTACTCATCGCATGTCTGTAACTTTTTTTGCCGAACTATAAATATCGATTCACACTTGGTTAGATCAAGTTAGCTTATATGTCCTCTCCATTGCGCATCACTTCGCTTCACTCCCTTCTCTTCACCTTCTTTGCTTCGTTTCTCCAATCGCTTGTCTGGATCAATCATTGTATGAAATACACGTACTTGAAATTCATTCTGGCATTTGACTTATATAATCCCATTATTCGCTAACACGTGTTAAGTCGATAATTGTATACGAGGATTGACGATATGTATATTTCGATAACAAGCAGCAAATGATCTACCTGAAGTCAGATCTTGGATCACAAAAACCTGTGAAGATGAAATGTCATTTGAATTTGTTTCCTATAAGTAGAAAGTCAAGTATTATAATTGATAATTCATTTCACTCATTGTAGAATCCAGCCTAATATCAAATGTTTTCTTATGGCTAAATAAACTATATTTACGTTCTATATGGTGTGTTAGTTTAAATACTTAGAGAGATCATTTCAAGTTCTTACATTATTCTAGGAAGCTATTATCTGAAATGGTGTAAACATTACTTGGTCTAGATAATTTATTCATTTAATAGTTATCAAAAGTTTGTTCAAATAATGCTAACCGAATAAATGAAAACTCGGATTTTTTTCCATAAAATATAAATTAAAGTGTTTTATTTATCACGTGAAGAGTGTTTTGTAATTTGCTTCTTTTTTTTCCCATACTCTTTCAAGGTTAACATCTATTGATTCTATTTGTTCATTATAAATAAACAACAAAGTCACATTTATTAAACGATATACATATACATATATCTATATCCATCATTTGTTTCCCTCAGTATAGATGTGTATTGTATGAAAAAAATCATTTGGTTCTTTCCCAATTTCATTCTGGCCTTTATATATAGTTATGTGTACTTCAATTTCAGTTGATACTTTACATCAGATCAAGTGATATACATTAAATTTGATATTAATCTACGGAAATGTGATATAGTCTTAAAAAGAGCACGAACAAAGATTCTAACAGAATAGCATGAATTCATTTTTATTTTGTAGGTTCACGTCAGCTGCTTACAACCTGTGATATTTAAAATTATAATTACATGATGGGTTTAAATTACTTACATGAAAGAGTTTGGTTGGAAATTATATTGGAGACACATTCGCATTAATTAATAGACTGAATATTGTAAATATATACCTTATGTAAAAGATCATTCTAAAACATTGATTGTGACAACAGTTCAAAGGGCTAGAAACAAGTAAACATTGGTAGGAATGAAATGAGTACAGTTCAGTTGATAAAATAAGATTATTAATTTGGAAGATAGTCGGAATAATACTCAATGATGTAATAAATGCAAGAAACAGTTTAAAGAAAAAGAAAAATATGTATCAAGATACAGCGAAGGAATATTATTCACCAAGGCAAGAAAAGATTAATAACCATCTCCTTTTGAACATATAAATCAGGTTTTTGGCGTCTGATAGCAACGGCTTCAGCGAACTTCAGAAGACTGGAGTTTGGCTTCTTACTAATCACCTTGAATGATTGTAGGGTATCGACCTGATGTCCTGTATCAAGGATATGTTTATTGATTGCACTGTTTAGAGTCTTTCTTTCCCTTGTTCTGAGACTTTTTGGATTATGTTCAAAAAAATCTAAGATATGTCCTCCTTTCTGTTCGGCCAATGTAGCCGCTTTGGCGGGTACACGTAAATTTATAAATACAGTTGGCAGTAACATGAACGGGGTGCTTCTTGACATTTAACTGAGTTATTGAACATGTTGTTTTATACAGAATTAGAAGTTTGGCCGCCTGATAAGTTCTGTAGGAGAACTTACGAAATAAAAATGAATTCATACTATTCTGCTAGAATCTTTGTCCTTGGTCTTTTCAAAATGATAAAGGGAACTATGAGTATGATATTTAGTTTTAATTAAAAAAATTTTTTTTCTGTATGGAAAATGATTTCTTCGAAGAATAAAGGATTGATATGGTAATAGATTGGGACACTAATTACAATAAAATTCATTAATTTGTATCAAATTTGAAAGATCTAAAAAAATCAACATAAAAGAAGAAACAAAAAATGAACTTTTAAAATCTACATTTTATGAATTTTATTTTCGGTGACCTAGAAGCTTAGTTTAACAGGAAATGAATTATTTTTAATTAAATTATTCATATTAATAGCAATATTCCATTTATCATTAGCTGAATGATCCAGTATATATAAACTTGTAAATTACTCACACTACCACTAAACAAGTAATCTAAAATATCATGTTGACGACAAATTAAAATATAAAAATACTTCAGAAATGTTACTAGGAGAAAACAGGTATTCTGAACTCACATTTTAAGTTATAAGCAAAGATGAATAGTGGCTAGCTGTGGAATCCAGGACGCGCGTTTCGTCCTAGTTGAGGCTCGTCAGCTGAATGTGCCTGTATTTCAGAGTTGATGTTCACTTTAAGACTCGAACCCAATACTATTCGCTTCAAACGCTATCGCTTTATCCACTTAGCTACTGAGTCATGATAGTCACCTGCTTGTGTAATGGGATGAAGTTTATTTCACTTGGTATTGTTTTACTTAAATCTTCCCATTGCAGTCCTAAACATCATTGGGAAGATTCAAGTAAAACAATACCAAGTAAATCACATTCTAAGTAATTTCTCGGGTTAAATTAACCATGAATCGTATTTGAAAAAGTGATCTCATAACCCTAACTGATTTATCGATTGCATTACTATACTCGAAAATAACACTAAACGATTAGTTCATTGATGGGAAACAATATTATGAAACTGTAATTATAGGAGCAATAAATAATAAAAACAATGTATGTTTGTTGGTTTGATAAATATATAAAGTCTAATGCTTAATGACAAATGTTCTAAACATGTATATTGTTGTGTCTCTAAACCCGTTTAATTATCAAGTGATTTATTTGCAAATCGAAATACGACTTATAAACTTAGTACTGTGCCAAACCTAAGACGTTTGACCGTTATGTACAGCCTAGTGTCTCTACTGGTCCTTTTTTCTCCTAGCCCCTCCAGTTGAACCCAGAACACCAATGACAGTTCCCACTATGCGAATCATTTATTTCAAATATGCTAGATTTGTATACCTGCCAAACAAACCGCATTACACCATAAAATAGGAAATAACATTTATACTTGATCAAGCCAAATAGTAGCTGTGAGTGTTGGAGACGGTACTTAATAAACTGAGTATAGTTTAAGAATAGTAAATTGTAACATAATAGTCTATAGGTCAAAATGAATCTTATAATAGGAGGAATATAGTTATACATAATCTGGTTACTAAATAATTATACAGTAAAAATATGTACATATATATAATATTAGTCCATTAATAGTTCTCAGAAGTTACCTGCGATTTAATCCTCACTAGGATATAGCATATATATATCTGTTCACATAACCACCCATATTAGATTTTAATGTAATCACAAGAAATATAGTGAGATAATAAAATAAATTTCTAGAAAACTTACTTAAATTTCGTTGGACAAAGTCAATATTATAGATTTAGCTTCATAATACAATCTATCAAGTAATTTTATAAATTTAAATTTCGTATTAAAATTAAGGAATTAATCATTTCATTCAAAAATTATTTAAAATATTTACTTAAAATGTTCTCAACTAAATCAAATGTCTAAAGATAAGGTTTATCAAGTCTTGGATTTGACTACTAGACTAATCGACACTTGTCAGTAGTAGCGAGTCATATAGACTGGTGATCACATTGTTGCTTGATGTATTAAATTCAATCAACATAAAAAAAAACACTAGACAACATGACATTAGTTATTACCAAACAATTTGTAGGTAATTATCAACCATCGTTGGTTACTGGCTCAGTGGTCTAGAGGTTAAAAGTTTGCTCGTGAAACCGAAGGTTCAAATTTCAAGTTTCATGAAATCCATTTATGGAATTGTAGGTACGTACTGTTAAGGAGTCCCAGTGCTTCCAGGTTTTCAATGATGATCTAGCTTAGATTGACTCATGAATTCAACTGTAAAAATTAATTCCTAATTTAATAATAATTATTGAGAAATATTCTTAATCAGTAAAATAAATGAAATAATCAATTATGTATAGATTATTAAATTTATTCTAGAATCATTCAAACATTGACGTAAAGTTAGATTACATGTGTTTGATAAAATACATTTTTATGCTTAATAATATATGATGAAAATTTGAATTGTACTAACATGACTAGTCTACTTTTTTCTTTAATAAATATATCCACTTATTTAGTTGCAAAATCCAATACTCTTATTGAATCAGTGACTATATAGTGATCCAGCTAGCTTTCTTTCTCGAATAGTATTAAAAAGTTGTGGTTAATTCATTTATTAACGGGGTATGATCACTATTACTATTGTCATCATAGTTATAGAAGGTAATAGATAGTTGGTTTTCAGGTTCATACTACTGATGACTGTCAATATGCAGTACAACAGAAAACTGATAGTTTTTCATGTTATACCTGATTATCTATTTATTCCATAGATTGTTAGTTTGGGACGAATTTCAACTATATATTTGATTATGTATACTAACGATTGTCCACTTTACTGTCTATATAAAAAACCAATTATTATTTATAGTTGTCATTGGTGATTTTTTCCGTTATTTCTTGACTCTTTTGGTTGTTCTTCAGAGTCCACCAGGACATCGTAAATCTAAAACATCCCCCGGTGTACGTGACACATCGAAAGAATCTACACAAGGTATAAGTGGTGCAAAGAAACGCGACAAATCTGTTCGTGGTCGTAATGCTAAGGTAAACCAAAGTTATTTTCCTGTTAGATATCAATTATTTTATGATTTAACTAAAGTTCTAAGACCTTGGGTTGATATAAAATTCAATATTTAATAGTTGAAATCTAGGTTTTCTATGGTGGTCTAGCTTTAATCGACTCATGAGTTGAACTATTAAATTACTACAATCTCCACAAAACTCCCATTCTGATGATAATTTAATATTTGTAAAGTCCTATTGAATCTAGCCATATTCTTTGAATTTCAATTGCTAAGTTTCACAATGAAACTCCGAATCAAGAAAAAATTACAACCTAACACTTTAACAGCAAATAACGAATTATGATCCACTACACAATTTCTTTACACTTAAAATGTTTTCATCCTCTTAGAAGTAAACCCTTACATATTTCCTTATTACTTAAACATTAATAGACGCATAGAAAAATATTAGCATTGCTTCATGTTCTCTATTCATTATTTCCAATCGTAATTTATAAATTATATTCTTCATATTTTGTTTTTACTGATATTGTGCCTTGTGCCTGTGTTGATTTCGTCCGTTTAATTTACTATCATGGTGTTAACAGTGTTGATACCCATTTGAATTGGGTATGGTATCGACTGAATAATCGGTTGAGAAACTTGATAGGGTGTAGTGAAAGCAATAAGTTATTGTCCACTGAGTGTGAACTAACAGACACTAGCTAGTTAGTACATGATTCCCTTCACATTATCAATTTCTATCCTGGATTCAGGGAGCCTGGACTGCATGTAATGGTATTGAATACAATATTTCCTAGTCTATACTCTAGTTTTCTTTGTTTGGTTGTAAATCTTGTTTCTTTATAGGATGATCCAGTATAGATATAGTGTACCTATCGAGTATGCTGTCTTGTGGTAGTATAACCCCGGACACCGATCTTATTATTTTACTATAGTAGAATAGCGTAGATAAACAGAAAATATTTGTTTTGGTGTTATATAAGAAATAAACATCGAGAATTGACGAATTTTGTATACAACATATTTCAGATTAACCAAACTTGAACACAGGATATTTCTGTGTTCTTTTGAAATGTCATTGTTTTGGTTAATTCATTCTAGTCAGTAACATTGAAATCCATTACCTTAAACTGAACTTCATTCCCTTTATGTTTTTATTGATTTTAATTAATTTTAATTTTAATTATTCTGTCGACCGGAAATATTTGCCGTTTGGAAAAATGTAAAAATTAAGCTTTATAAAGTACAATCAGCTGATCATAATACATTTACTTCAATATTTTGTTAATGCTAAAATGAATAATATAGAATTTACTCTAAATAAGACAGAAACCGATATTTAGGTCGGCATGGTTTATAAAAATCCATTATTATTTTTGCAGTATTACGTTCTGTGAGCTAAATGGCTTGATTAAAAAGCTTTTATTGTCGTAATGGACTATATTATTATCCCCTACTTTAGCTGTAAATGAGCTTATTAAATATTACATGTGTACTAAATTAGTCTGTTCTGATAGCCGTTGTTTGTAGCTGGATATGTTTTCTGGTCTTGATATCTCTTTAAGTTGAATTTTAAACATATGATTAATCTAACAAAATATCTTAGTGTGAAAGTTTTAGAAAATTAGATTTATTTTCTTCCATTTACAAACTGATATGTTAAGATTAAACTTCACTGAAAGTGAACTTATAACTAATCTTGCATTCTACAGCTTACTCCACAAACTGACCTTATCCAGGCTACCACTGGAAACTAACAAGCTGTTTCATACAAGAATGTAACTCTTCAGCAGTTCATATCCACAACCTCATCGACTGTTAAACTTAGGATCTCCAGGTTTCACTCAGACTTTTAGACTACTGAAGTGGGATCCAAAGGTTTGTATATCAAACTTTAATTATTATGCAATACTGTTCGGCCATGACACCTGTCTCACGCTTGAAATGGTTGGACTCCAGTGGTTAGAGCTTCTCACTAGAACTGCGGGAATCACATCTTATATTTGGTTACTAGTAGGCAAATGATTATCATTTGTATATGGGTATGCAGAGATTATTGAATTCTACAACCTTAGTCAACCACCGAAAACTACTCATGGTTTACTCAATTGATCGTATCTTTTTTGGCTACTTTCAATTCATAGTCAAAAATCTACAATCATTCAAATTTGAATAAAGTACAGATTATTCACACTTTTTGTACAGTAACTTCTATACAATAATTTACAAAATAAAATCCACCTAAATATCAGATTGCACTGACATTTAGTAAGAATGAAACTTTATCCATATAAATACAATAAATTACTTATTTGTCACATATCTTATCAACGGCTATGAATGTCTATTTTGTCCAAACTATTATCATACCCAAAATTATTGATTTTTCTTATATTAATACTAAAGAGCAAAAGAGTTCTCACGAAATCGTGAAATCGCATTCATCAATAATAATCTCATAAATTAAAACAACTTAGATAAGCGCACAATACTGTTCATAATTAGTTCTTCATCAACCCTTTTATATATCTATATAAATCCTACTAATATATTAGAGTGAAGAAGTTCTAATTAAGAACAATATTGTCCTCTGATATATATTATTCCGCTTTACATCATGGGGATTTCTAGTATTATAAATATTAGAGATAGATTTATATTTTAAAGGTTAATACACAAATCACTCAAACGTTTTTAAATGTACAATCGATTAATTAATAATATAAGACAATTAAGAAAGTAGAATAAACCCTTCACTATTGATTTAAGGCGTCGAAATCCACACAAAGTATGAATGAAGAAAAAATATTTAGACAAACCGGTAAATATGCAAATCTAATATATTTTTTAAGTAAATTTACGAGTTTCGTTATAATTCATTCATTATAAAAACACTTTGAATGAACTCACCTTCAATTAGGAAATGAACTCAAATAGTATTTATTATGAAAGATCCTTTTATGACAAGGCATTAGGGAATTAATAAAGTTAATCACAAATGGTAACATTATAATTATTAAAATGGTATATTGATAAAAAACGATTTAACTGACGAGGAGACAAAGACTTATCTAATATTGATAGTAATGTGATCAGGATAAATAACAAGTTCTGAGATGGTAAAGATTTGTAACTCAGGTGAATAATTTTAATGGAGTTTTGAAGACTTCAGGTAGAAGTCTACCTGAAATTTGTGCTGATGATGTCATTCAGAATGACGATGAAATCTCCACAACCAAACCAAAGAACAAAACTCCATCAGAATAACAGATTCAAATCCATCTTCTCTATATTTCCATTGGAATTTTTCCTACATTCTTTGAATGATATTATTTCGCCTATTCTTTGGTAATCTTCAAATTGTTCAATGAACTCATTATTTTTCTAAACGTTAAGTATTTCATGTATTATATCAAAGATCTAATCGTCATGTTGTCAAGATTCATTAGTCAGACACAGTTAAGGTGTTTTTTTTTCAGAAAGAAAAAAAAGTCGGGTACTTCATTTGTAGTGTCTATTATTATGTTAAGCCCATATAACTTATTCTAGCTTTCGGACAGCCCAATCTAGTCATCCTACTTGAGTCGCATTCTAACCTTGTTAATTATTCGTTCATCAATCTTGACTGTTTTTATATGAGAGCGTAGGTGTGTGTACACTTCTTATCCCATTACTCATCACATGTCTGTAACTTATTTTTGTGTAACTATAAATATTGATTAAGGTTTGTTTAAAGGGGAGTTGACTTACCAGCCATCTCAACTGCGCGTCAATTTTACTTCGCTTTCTTCTCTTCTCATCGGTCTCCCGTTCGTTTGTCTGATCAACGATTATACAAAATATATGTATCCAAAATTCCTATAATGACTAACGCGATTTAAGTCGATGATATTATACGAGGATAGGCGACATCATTCATGCGATCTACTTGGAATCAGATCTTGGGCCACTAAAGTGGAGAGCCCTTCGATGAACATCGTCCGATCTAATTGACATAAAAAATAAGGGCCTCACAAAAAGTGGTGGGCCCACCACCGCCGACGAACTCAACGGGCTCCACACATTATAGATTCGAATCTGCATCACCTAATAACTAGTATAGTATTCTAGAAACTATTTAAGTCAAATAAAACTCCATATTTTTAAATAGCTTTGTCAATGTTTTTAAACTGTTGTGTAAATTTACCACTTCATAATAAAACTAAATTGTTATTAGAAGTTCGAATTTTAATTTTATGTTGTCTATCAACTTACAAATGATTTAAGCTTATTTCTTTATGAATTCAATTGGTAAGATGCGTGCATTGAACTATCTAGTTGTGTGTGAGAAAATGACTTGTTATATTGTTTTTTTTTTTGAAAATATTCATGACGATTTACTTCAAAATAAGATTATCCATATCGTTAAAACCTTAACTTAATTTCATATCAAAATATTTTGAACTGATAGATTGTATGAACGAAGACATTCCTGGAGTTCTAGTGAAAAGCAGTGACCAGTGGAATTCAACCAGGTCTGTTGTAAGATAGTAACTCACTGAAGAAAATGGTGGTCGGTGGCGCAATTTCGTGGATTAGTTCAAGTTAGACATTAACACCACCGGATGTCGGCTAGCTCAGTGGTCTAGAGGTTAATAATAATAATATATTATGAAAATAATAATTACAGAATTCACGCCAGTTTACAGGCATGATCAATTTGATATAAATAGTAACATTAGATGTAGAGAACAAACATGTGATAGAAGAAAGTTTTAAGTATGCTAGTTCAGTAATTGTTTAGGTAGTACATATATTACAGTGATCCAATACATCAGCCGGGAACTTTTAATTTTTCTTAAATAGACAACCTGTTGATTTATGAACGGTGTAATTAAGGTCATTTCCTGTGTCAGATCGAATTAATGATAATTATCTACAACTGGAGAAATTAAAACGAAAACAGAGAGAACACGGAACAAAAAAGCAGTAATTACCAAAATATGTCAATCAGGTCTACCAAAATGCATGTGTCGTGTGACACAGTGGTATAGTGTTGATGTTAAATATTATTCAAATTAGTCAAAGTTGTTAGGGACGGTGTTAACATAAAGTGACAGCATAGGTGGTTTTACTTAGGGAATGCACTAATAAAAATGGCTAAACATTTACAGTTCCTATATTATCACTTGTGAAATGAGATACACTTAGAGGTGCTAGAATATTCAATGCATTTTCAGAGGAGCAATATGCATCGATGCAGCGAACAAATAATCTCGCGAGGCTGGATCGTGGGTGCGCACTACTGAGAAGTTCCATATTAGGATAAAAAGGGGCCGTCTAGTGCTTCCAGGTTTTCCATGGCGGTCTAGCTTCACTTGACTGATGATCACAACTATTAAAATTAAAAAAATGTTAGTAAATCTCAATAGAACACAAATATCAAAATGTGAAGATTATTAAGTGGATATTTTATTTAATTATGGGTTATTTTAATAGTATTGTATTAGAAGGATTAACGCAGTCACGATCGGAATGGTGAATCACAAAGATTTTCTTGAAATTCCTTGATAAGCGCAAACTGTTAAATAATTCGAAGTGTTAGAATTTAGAGTTAAACCATAATATCGGTGTATACTATTCTGTTGACGAAGTTATACGAGAAACATTTTTAGTAACCTATATTTTAAACTATGACGAATAATCACTATAATTATGTGCAAGTAAAAATATTCTTGATCATGTAACAAGATAAATAAATAGATTATTACTGCAATGAAAGATTAATAATCATCTCCTTTGGAACACATAAATGAGGTTCTTGACTCAACGGCTTCAACAAATTTCAGAAGACTAGAATTTGGCTGTTTATTATTCACCTTTAAAGATTGTAAGGTATCCTACCGACCTGATGTCATGTATCCTAGAGATGTTTGATGACTGCACTATTTAGAGTCGTTTTTTCATAATGAAAATCTGTAGTCTGTCATTTTTAGATATAGTCTTTAAACAAACTACTAGATGAGTAAATACAGCATTTTACCTAGAGAAACTTGTTTTAAGTAAGACAGGATTATCATTTTCATTGATTTCTTCCTATTTTAATGTAAACATAAGCAAGCGAATTGTTTATGTAGTTGAATTCAAACGGATATATACACTTGAGATTGCAAAGGAAGTACTCAAAAGATTTAATCAAAAACTCTGCTTAATAATTTCGATCATTTAAAATTAATCAAACGCTGCTTTGAATCGATTCCATCTATTATTTATTTCCATTAAATTCTAAAAAAATTTGATCATTTATCATTACCAATGTTTATTGATTTCTATTGAGACCACCATCAAAAACGGCCGTTTCGTCCTAGCATGTGATTCCTCAGCTGTGAGCATCCATGATTTCTTTAACCTCGTTACTTTTCTTCATCACTTAGTACCAATTCGAAAAAATAACATCGTTGAAACACATACACACATTAGGTAGTTTTCCGATTATATTTTACAATTACAATTAGATATTTCTGCTTAAGATTTGGTGAGGAAAGAAATATATTTGCTTATATTACGTTTTTCAATTATTAAAATGACAACTTATAAACCATTTTATTTACCAATCATTCTTTTCTCGTTATGATAAAACAGAGAGTGGTAACTTGGACTGATGTATATTTGTACTAGTTATTTTATTATTTTATGTCCATCTGTTTTTCTGTAATTATCTGTCATAAAATGGTTCATACCACCACAGAGATCTATTGTCAATTCTCTGAATAAGTGGCTTACACTGAGTCACGAAACGTCAGAAAATTTAAAAACGTTTTTTTTTACTCATCGGGATATTACGATTATATTATTTTTATTGATAACAATCTGCCCAATGCTCAATTTATTTTAAATTGTCAAGTCAAACTTCGACAATGACATCTATTGCTAATGCTGTTCTGAAGAGTGATGTAATAGTTACATTTCAAATTATGGATACTTCTGGCTATTAATGTCATGAAAACTATTGCATGAACATGATATGAATTGAAGTTATAATTCTAGCATTTAAGGAGACTAGTTTTGTGAATTTTCAACAACACTTAAAACCAAATGAACCACAGCAAACTATCGAAATTATGACATGATGTTTTACATAGATTTACAATTTCCATTTTAGCATTGAATATATAAAATCAAGAGTAAAGATGTCTGTATATATATGGAGAGACCCTCAATTCTTCATTCTTGTTCTCTTCACGTTAATAAAGGAAACCAAGTGTATGTAATCTATTTATCAACTAATGACCATAAGTTTTATATTAAAAAAATAGTTTTTCTATAAGATTTTAATCTGTTATGCATATTTATTTATTGTAAGTTGTTTTTAATTTTATTTAAGGATATTGATAATAGTAAGGACGATAAAAGTGGCGGGAAAGGAAAGAAAAGTGATAATAGTAATTCACCTAAAAAAGGTAATTCAGTAATACTTTTTCTCACTTTTTAATCTCACATTATATCTATCAGGTAACCAGGCTTTAGTCATTTTCAAAAATGATGGAGAGAATTTACAGCTATGGTAGACGCTTTTTAGTGTTGTTTATGCCCTCCAACCTAGTTGGTTTAGTTGATATTGAACCATCTATGTCAGAGAACATAAACAACAATGAGAAATTTAGTAATTGCGGCGAGACTATAATTTATGGACGACCTATGAACGAGTCTTAAGTGACGTTGAGCAATATTAGCCCATCAGCAAACGGTCAGTATAGAATAAAAATATATTATACAGAACCAAAGAAATAAAGTGGATAATCTTTTTATACATGGTTCAAAAACTTGTCAAGGTTAAAAAAAGGTTCAGAGGTTCTAAAATCGTAATGCATGCGGAAGAGGAAATCATCCATACGGCTACAGAATAGTCGGCCTCCGGAGTCATGATAAAGTCTCAAAAACTCTTTCAGCCTCGACCACAAAGCTTCAATATTGTCTGTGTGCACTTCGGTTGTTGAGTACACAAAATGCCACTTGTGGATAACGAAACGATGCACATAACAAAGCCTATGTAGGAGCCTGTATGCTCTCCAATCATCCGTATATATTGCGGTACGTGGCTGCAGCCAGTGTTACTGGTGCTTTTATTTTCCATTTCGCAATAATTATCGTAATTTGCCTTAGTTAGGAATTATATATAGGGTTTTCATCACGAACTGACATCAACTATAATACCAGAAATTTATTTAGCCAAATGAATGAAAGGCTTTCGCGCCAAAATCCGAGATCTGTTATCTTATACCAGATTGATTCGTTCACAAATTATAGTCTTGCCGTTTTGTTTGTTATAGCCGCTCAATTATCACGTTTTGTAAAAAATTCCCTGTAAACCGATCGGACGTTATCATTAAGCACTGAAGTTGGCGCCATGACCTCGAAATCTCTCAAACTCTTCTAATTGGCTCGTACATAAATTAGTCTCGCCGATTTAAGGTAAAATAATTTTCATTCAGTCATCACTTACATTTACATTAAAAGATTATTATACGGTTTGTCAATCAGTGAAAAGTCTTAAACAACGTAAGAGCTTGTACAGATATTGGATTATTCCAAGTAACCACATATTGCATCAGTGAAGCAAAATAAATTAAGGAATTTGTATTATTAGCGATATCAGTGGTTATAAATGACGTTATTAATGACGTGCTCAGTTAAAATAGACGGATAAAACGAGGGAAAAGTAATAGGAAATATTACTAAGTGTATTTATTAGCATACAAATAATAAAACTACTTTATTTCTTTACAACTAATTGTCAATAAAATTCTCAAGTCATTATAGATGGGATCTTAATCACAAATTTTTTTTTACCTCAGAACACAACTGAGGTGAATAGTTCATATCTTAATAAACTATCTAATACTAATGGATATGTTGGGATTATTTCTTTATAAAGAAATATGACTAAATTTGTAATCCGACTAAGATATGTAATATTGTTTGATATATACAAAGAAAATAGTCTAAGCGTATTATTCATCAATACTAACACATTGATACTCTTAAAACAATATTCCCTTCTATCAAAATTCTTTCTGAAACTACATATGTAGATATAAATGATCATTATACATTTATAACAACCAAATTTTATAAATAGAGAAACCTGTTTTATTTTTTATCACTGCTAAATTCATTAATCTTATGTCAATTTTTGTATAAATTATAAAAAGGTCGTGTAATTGTTTTACCCTAACAACTATATTATTCACAATAAATATATGTCTAGTATTTTCTTTATCTCCTCTCCACCTCTGTCCTTAACAAATATTTTATACCGTCAATTTTATATACACATATATATCCAAAGAGAACTGAGACAGTTTAGAAAAACACTATGTTTTGTATGTAAGTCATTTAATATAAGGCATAAAATAAACTAATTCAGCTCGGCAAATACAATCAATACTGACAAAGATATATACTTTGAATACAATTCAACTAGACTGTAGTAAGAGTAATTTATCAAGTAGAAATATTATTAGTTAAAATTACAGAATTACATCAATTTAGATTAAAAAAATTGGACTGTTTGAATCTCACGAGGCATGATCACGGATGCGCACTTCTGAAGAATCCCACAATGGTTTAGCTTCAATTGACTCATGATCTCAACTATATATATATATATATATATATATATATATATATATATATATATATATATATATATAACTGTTCAACTTGGTCATTGTAAAGGAATAATGAACAAAGTAGGGAGATGAATTCAGCTGATCGAATTTCGGCTTTATGTAGTACAATTAGCCAATAAAATCGAATTAACAATTATATTTTAATCATAATCATAAGTTAATCCACTAAGTTTATTTGTTTCACTTCATTACTATCCAGTCATTTACTCCATTTATCTGATTTTCCTAAGTAGGATTAAGTATAAAATATTTGATGGTTAGTCTGTCAAAGTTCAGATGAAGTAGAACTAAGTACTTTACATGTATGACAAAAGTTCAGAGCAGTTGAATTTACCGAATATTTTGTCACAATTTGTCATTACTTTCATGTTAATTAATTTATTGTTCATGAAATTCCATATTTCTAAAATAATGGTTATTCACAATTTTACTTAACTGTGAATCAGTCATTCTCCACACTCTACTTTATGTTCCATATCATTTGATTTGGTTATTTCTTCTTTTGTTGAACCAATCTTGACTTTAATATTCCTTAATTTTCTTAAGTTTTCTTCGGATTTCCTTATTAAATTACTCTTATTCTTACGTCTTTAGTTAGGTCAGCCCAGTACAACTTTATAATTCACAAATTACAATCCATAATATAATTGAGTTGGAAATTTTCAAGCTCTATGTCTGTCACGCATCAAGTCGGTACCATAGTCAGCAAAGAATTAAAAAATTTACAAAATCTTATTTATAATTGAATTGTTTACTTGAAAGTACTTGACATCTTAAGAAAAAATATATAGTCTGGACAAATGATATTTTGTAATGTAAAACTTTCAGCTTTATTTTCTAGAGAATTCATAGAAACTGGAATTTTAGGTTAACTGATAAGTAGGCTTTTGTTAGCATAGTGAAATAAAATATGATATTAGTGTAAACAATAACCGGTTGCTCAGTAGTATTCAGTTAAACATTTCACTTCTAAACACAGAGCTCTATAATATTATTCAAAATATGTCAATTTTTCGTTTCCTGATGAAAATCTTTATTATTATCAAACGCTTACTTTAAATAAGTTAAATATGAGATTTAAGTTTAAAACTCTTTGACTTCTTCAATACTCACTATTTTTAAGGTAATATTGAGTTGGTAAATCAAATGTATTACATTTCTTAAAAATTTATGCTAAGTATTGAAAGGATTGAAAATTTTAAATTAGATTACTGGTAAGTCTATCTCTAAAACACCGTTTGTCATTCGTCATATTATTTATAAAACTGCAAAACTCAACATTTTTGAACTATTCATTTAAATAAGTCGTGTTGTAAACACTTATCGTTATTACTATAAAACGAGATTTTATGGATATTGTTGAATTTTATGGTTTACACTACGAAACGATCTTAGTTAGACGACTATTGAAAACTAAAAAACTTTAGATAGGTGGGAGTAGAGCAGATACAAGACAATACTGGGGATCGAACTCAAGACCTGATTTGGCAGCAAGCACTTAACCTTCAAGCAACTAATCCGATATCCAATGATCTGAATGCTTAACTTTTAAATTATTATTAGCTGATCCAATCTATTTTAATATTAAAAACACGATCATATATTCATATTATTTATTTACGAATATCGAGGTATTACTGTGAAGATATTTGTTATGTATATGGAGTATTGTTATGTAAAATGACTGTTTGTTCCTATTGTTTCTGTTAATATTTCTCTTTGAACATAAAACACTGTCTGACAAGCATAGCTTGATCATAAATATCTAAAAAATATAAAATCCATATTGATTATTCATAATTTCATCATGTTGATTTACATTTACCTATGAAATTCTTTCTATGCATTTTAACTATTTTTTTTACACTATTGATCTATTATTATGATAATTTTATGGATACATTTATAAAGAAAAATAAATTTAACACGAAGAATAAAACATTTGATGAATTAATAAACTTATTCTACCGATTGCCTCATAACAACTCACTGAAGACAATTGAAAATGCTTGTGCGATATCATTAATGTTCGATATTAACACCGTTGGATACCGTCTCAGTGGCCTCGAGGTTAAAAGTTCGCATGTGAGATAAAAGGTCTTAGGTTTGAGCCCTATGTGTGGGATTGTGGGTGCTCACTACTAGAGTTTTATATTAGGATGAAAGGACCATCCAGTGCTTCCACGTTTTCAGTGGTGTCTAACATTTGATTGGCTCATTATCTCAATAAAAACTAACACTTTATTTGTTAAGTCAACGTTTCCATACACATATATGAGATGATTAAGGTGAGTTGTTTTCAACAATAACCAATATAATGTATGCATAAGCTCATGAACACAAGTGTCACGATGCAGAATAGGTCTACAAAATTACTCTATAATGCCTTTGAAAATATATCACTTTAATTACATTCACAAATCATTCTCATTATTAGCAATCAAATTTTCCTTCATATATAACCGGTTTTCTTATCATTTAGAAGCCATATTTTGTAAACGATAGTGTACATCATTATACAATACTTGAACGGTGGTTAGCAATCGAATCTGGAATGTTATTTCCTCCCTGGTTTGAACTCGTCAGGTGAAAAGTTTAAATCATTACAAATAAATTCATGTCTGTCGGACAGATTAGTGGACATGAAGATTTATTAGCTTAGTTGACATGTTATCGGATGAAGTTATAGATAGTTTCTTTGAGTCTCAGCGGGATAAAAGTCCATCCAAATGATGAACATCAAACAATTGTCCTGTGTTTCACCTCTAGCTGCACAATACATATCTTAAACTGTAATGACAATTTACTTTACCTGTTATAAGAGTTGCCTCATTCCTTAATTTTAATAATGTAATTTTACCTGAAAACTACGATGTGGTTCAAATTTCATAAATATTTACCGTTTCAAATTTGATTCGATCCTAAACTTTATGAATTATAACTGAACTATTAAGCTTTCAATTATCTTACTAGATGTCATTTTAGGAATAACAAATTCAATTCATTCAAATTAAAAGAAGTACATATTTTAGATTCCTTTTCTTTGTTTTACCAACTACCTCTTTATCTTTTATCCCAGTTTTTTAAGATATATTTAGTCAATTTACTTATCAACTTTAAAGTTTTTCCCAATATTCACTTTTCACTGTGTTGTTTTTTATTGTCTGAATATTATGACTTCATTATAAAACGAATAATTGACATATTCATTTGTATTTGTAATAATAAAATTAAAATTTAATTTAGATGAATTGAGTATAGAAGAAAGTGAAACAGAGGATGAAGTACAAGAGGAAAGTGGTATTGTGTCATTAGGCGTAATAAGTGAGGAAAAAACAAAATTTTCAATCACTTGCATGCAATAGTACTTATTCACTGGCATACACTCATTGATTATCAATATCGTCATATATTTGCATGACATGATATTATTGAATTTATATGTATCCATGTTGTAAATTACTCATTTCGAAAATGTCGTTGTATTTGATTATTATTATTATTATTATTATTATTATTATTATTATATTTGCTGATCATAGACAGAAATAGAAATGACCTTCATTCAAATCCTTGTTTTGTTATCAGATATTTGAAAACCCTTTTTCATCTAAATATGTTGGATATGATTAACATCTCAACATTATCAACGTCTCTCTATATTTTGTGAGTGTAATATTCTAAGTTATTTAATCAGTACTAATAAGCACCAAAAGTGGTTGTACTGTTGTCAACTGAAAATTTACATATACCTACTTACCTACTTACATACATACATACAAACATATATATACGCATATATAAAGACATCATTCTTGGGATTTTGTACTTATAAATTATTGTTTTTATAGAGGATGTCTATAATTTAAAAAAATTCTACAAATATGAAATAAAATGTCATGAGGTAAAACTTTAACTTGTAAACTAGATTTATCTTTTGTTCACATCACATTACCTTTGACTTACACCAAGGTATTAAGCATTTAGATGCCGATTTCAGTTTATCTAATCATTTGAAATATGCACTATTTGTTGTCAGCAAATAATATTCTTTTAAAAGGGATTTATTTTATTCACATACATTGAATCGTTTTCGTTAGAGCTAATTTTGCAAGATATTTGCGTAAATGACTGTCATCAGCACTATAAACTAGGAAGGACTGGATATTTGCTTCGTTTTCAACTATTTTCTCCTACCAGCCCATCATGGATCACACCTGAAACTTTTAAATGTAACAATGAGCATAATATATTTAGACTATTGACTCTGAATCCAATGATCCAGTTTTACAACATAATTCATATCGTGATGTAGCTCAAATAACATCCAATATCATCGATGATAAATGTTTCACTTTTAAAAATAACCAAACTGCACAAGTTCTAACTCACTAAAACAACTGTTGAGTTCCACTTGTTTTTCAGTGATATTTGAAGTAAAGCCAATTCAAGATAATTTCACAAAAATATCATTCTCTGCAACCAACCAACTAAACTTGAAACTCATTCCATAGATTTAAGGTGGTGATTGGAGATAGTCGATAGAAAACCCTGGAACTAGGTTTCACGTTATTCGGTACTCGTCGTCAAGGTGTAATCTTGAAGTAACCGATGCTACCTGACGGATTCGATCCCGTGTCATCCAGCTTCACAGTCAGAGACGTTACCACTAATCTATCCCGGCCGTAATTGACCTCCTGTAGGACTGAAATGATCACTGAGTAGTGACCAATGTGAAGTGTAACAAGCCCTTCTTGGTCCAGACCAAATTCTATAGTTTAAATTGCAATGTTGGATATCTCCAACCACCACCTTACATCTCAAAATAGTGCACACGATGTCGGGTTATCTAGACTAGTGGCTACATTGCAACTTGGTCGATGGATTTCGATCTGCATTAAGATAGACATGATACACGTGAGGTTGGTCGCTACCCAGAGACCAATAAATTGTAAGTAGATTACTTAGATTTTAGGAATCTAATTTACATGGGAACCGAATAAGTTCTAAAATACATTACGTAATCAACCCGTAGGCTAAATAAATTTACAGAAATGATTGTTACATTTAAAAGTAAAAAACACATCCATTTAGTTGTATAACGCTTATGATATGTTAAAATCATGATTATATTATGCATTAATTAAAAAAACTTCAGTTCCAACATTAATTTCAAGGTTTTTGATAAAACTTTGTTCATTCTACGCGTGAGTGATTAAAGAATCATTTAACTGAGAGATGATTTAGGCATCCTAATGAATACACCGTACATCCTAATCAACTTTTAATGATGAACGTTCAGTTTGCGATCAAATAACTAGGTATGAAGAATTGATATTAAATTGTTCCGTTTTGTAATAGATACGAATTTAATTAGCACGAAATCAAGGTTTTCTTCTGGTTGGCTTTAGTTTTATCCACCACAATATCGAATTCTCTATTCTAATACCCTACTATAATCAGATTAACCCAATTCAATCAGAACTAAATACCTTACAAAATTATTTGGTGTGTAAACATCTCATTTTTACAGAGAGTTAACCGTGGCTAAGATAGATAAATAATAACATCTGTAAATATAAAACTAGATAACACAGTTTCGGATCTCATGAGAAAAGCCATTTTTTCATGATTGGCGACAAATTTTGCAAGCTAATATCTTTTAAAGTGAAACCTTGGTTTTGAAGACTAGTATACCATATAGACAGTAGTAAATAGTAAGTTTAGTCTTTTATTGCTTTATTTCGGCAATTTTCAAGTGGTTTTTCACTATTCCCATGTCTAGCATGCATCATCTTGTTTGAAATGAGTAAGCATGTATTTAATTTTATTGAGTGTTTACCTATTCATTTATGTTTTTATTTAAATTTGCATTTGTTTGAAATAAACATGACTACTAACAGTATCAATACTATTATCGTTGATTACATTATTATCTATGGTTATTTTTCGTATCTAGCTAACCAAGAACAAAGTAGATCTAGCGGAAAAAGCAAAGCAGGAAGAAATACACGAAGTGCTAAACAAACATCAGATACAGAAAGACTCGAGGTAAGTTGATGAAGATGAATGGAATTGTGATACTTATGTCAAAATTGAATAATAACTAGGAATTAAATTCAGGACCTGTGTTTCGTCCTATTTGAGATTCATTAATTGGATGAACACAGATTCCACTGCTGATGCTTACAATGATGTTCGAACTTAATACTTGTCATATCAAACTCCGACACATTATCTACTAAGTCAATGATTCAAGCTTGCTAATAAAGTCTGATCGGTTTCGATGTTGAACATTAACTACGGAGAAATATATATCTTAACAAATTTGATGCTTTTTGTTTTTCTGTTTAGAACTTTTAGTCTACTAGTAGGTTTTGTAACATTTTTGAACATAAACATAGCGAACATTTCAATCCATATATGATACTTCTACTACATTTCATATAGCGATTTATCTTCCGAAATCTAAACTAACCATAAAATAAAATGTTTGTAGAATACAATGAATCCATTGTATTTCGTTGCTTTCTCTTCAGCTACAGACAAGTTATTAAGCTTAATTAGTTAGAAATATTCCTGTACTTGTAAGTTAAGAAATAAACTATCTAATGGAGAAGAGAAATTGTTTACATTGTATTTTATATTGGTATATATAATCTTTCTATTTGCACATTACTTACCGAAAATGATAAACCTAGCAAATGAACCAAACTTCACATTTTTCCCATTTCACTAAGTTAAGTAATTATCTTGCATAAAATTAAGTTTGTTTATATCACTTAATCATTTTAGAAATGAATGTTTCATGAGAGTTATTTTACAACATAGCCTGTTGTTTACAATATCCATTTTAAATAGTCCTTATATGTAAGTACTACTGAGCACCGCTAACGCGTCTTTCAATTACTTGCTGTTTTAGCTATATTAGTTAAGTTATTGCTCTGAGTTTGGTCTAGTGAAGCACTTTAGGCTTAGATTCTTCAATGTGAACAAATGGTTCCACAGAATTAAAGTCACTTTTTTGAATAGCTTGATGTATATAAAGGTTAATGTTTTAGATACATCAAGATTTCACAAGTTATCAAAAAATATAATTTGCTTCAGTTTGTATTTGTGCAATAATAAAACAATACATAGGGGTAATTTCTTAAACTTCAAGGAAACTGAGGCTATTGATCTTATATATACTGAAGGCCAAAATGTCATAATCACATGTCTACATGATTACGAAATAAAAATGCTCTCGGTATAACTTAAATAGACTGCTATTCAAAAGTGCTGTGTTGAATAATATTTACCCTAAGTCTATCAACTCACATACAGTTTCAGGTACCTCTGACTGATGAGAGAGCAAGTTAGTAACAAACGTAAGTCAAAAAGTGAACAATTAAGTGCAGTGATATTGCGTGCTAATCCTCTGAATCCCAAACAAATAAAACAATAAAAGTATTATCATCACAAGATTTAAATATCATCAGATGGGTTACGTACAGAATAAAGAACATATACTATTTGGTAAAACTAAACATTATAAGACTCTGTTTAATGCTTTCTGATTCTTAGAGACTATGCACATAAGAAGCTGATACACCTTGTACTTGAAAGGTTGAGCACCCCCTTTCTCACTACTTTCTACTCTCTAGAAATATACTTATGAACTTTGAACAGAAAACATTTATAAGATTACGTGTGATCATGACACTTAAGAAGCTTTTAGAAACATGCTAAGACTGGTGAAAAATTTAGCAATCGTCCAATCATGGCACTGTAAACATAGTTTATTTTTTCTAATAATTCTCTTAGAAATGTCTAAAAAAACAATGATTGGTAGTATTTTCAATGAATCTTTGGTTTCTAAAAGATGTTTTGGAGAGACTATAATTTGTGGACGACCTTTGAGCAAAAATAAAGCGACCTTGAGAATGTCAACATGTTTACTAGAGACAAATGAGGGTTATAAACCTGTGGGAAAAAAAAGTTTATGATTTACAGTTGATGGTTCGGGTTAGGAATAAGATTTCGGGTTTTCATCACGAACTAAATTGTCAAATCGTTATTTAGCTAAATAGATAAGTGAATTTCGCGCCAAATTCAAGACCTGTCGTCCTAAATCTAATTAGTTCACCCATAAATTGTAGTCTCACTGATGTTTTTTCCAGAAATTATCAAGGACGCTTGTTAGAAACTGCCTGATATATTTTAACAAAAAACTTCAACAAATCCACGAAATTAAGCGACACATTCACCATTGTCATCAGTGACTTACTATCTCACAACAGACCTGATTGAATTCCACTGGTCCCTGCTTCTCACTAGAACTCCAGTAAGTACCTCTTGAAGTCAGTCACTAGTGAGCTTATGATGATTATACTAGGATGAAACAGTCGTCCATTGCTTCCATGTTTTCCATGATGGTCTCATGAATTCAACTATTAAATCACTACAATCTCCACAAAACCCCTATCTGATTATATACATATTTTTGTATTTTAACAGTTAAATATTCAATTACTTATTTACAGTAACCCAAATAAAAATTCTAATGAAAATTTCTCGGAATCCATCAGTAGAATTAGTAAATCTAAAGTTCATTACCGAATAAAATATGAATGTTTTGCGTGATAAAAAGAAATTAACATTTTTATTTAAATTTTATTCTCGTTACTTTTTAAAAAAATATTTTTCTTGTTCGATATTTTGAAAGAAATTTAAGTAATTTAAGCCAATATATATTTTAATTTTATTGTTTGGACAGTCGTTGATGATAAAATTTAATAGAACAATTAAGTACATTTAAACAAACTCTGTTATGTAATGAAACCATTCATTGGAAATTTCTATTTAAACCATTTAAAATTATAAAAAAATATGGATAGTGGCTAGCAGTGGAATCTAGGACTCACGTTTCGTCCTATTTGGGACTTGTTAGCTGGATGTACCTGTATCTCATAGTTGATCTTCATTCTGAAACTCGAACGTAGTACCGTTCGCTTTAAACGCAATCGCGTTATCCACTTAGCCACCATTCATATTTGCTTATAATGTTTGTGAATTAAGGCAATATTGAGGCAATATGCACAGTATGTACATATGTCAATAAGAGACTGATCAATTGCAGTCCTAAACGTCAATGGGAAGATTCAAGTAAACTATACTAAGTGAATTTATTTAAGATTATTTTTTTTTAAAAACATCTAAATGTACTCTGAGATAATAATAAATATCTGTATTCAATCTTTGTACTTACTGGGTTTATGCAAGGGTTGATTATCATAGCCTTTTTATATGATGGATAAGACAATGTATACCGTAAGATTAGATTGTGGTTGGAGGTAGTCGACAGGAAACCCTGGACCCGGGTTTCGTGCTACTTGGCACTCGTCAGCAAGGTGTACCTGTAATCTTTGAGGGAACTGGTGCTCCTTGGCGGATTCCATCCCGTGTCACCCAGCTTCACAGTCAGAGACGTTACCACTGAGCTATCCGGGCCGCGACCGACCTCCTGTAGGACTGAGATGTAATCACAATTAATTGATCACTGGGTGACCAATCAATTGTGACAATGTATACTGTTCTGTGTTAACACATCTAGCTAGTGAATATTTTGTGGACAAATAGTTTCTAGATGTTCAAATACTAAAGATTCCATAAATCAATGAAATTATACCAGAAGTATTTTGGATTTTTGCTCCGTTTGTCTACTAATGTTTAGTAGGAAGGTAGTAAGTTAACGGAAGAAAAAAAATTCATCAAGCCGATGATTGTTTGTTTTCACTGTGAAGTGTGACACCTTTAATAATTGTAGCCCTTCTAAAGTTATAAAGCATTTGAAACTGCTTGACTTAACTAATAGTCATTCGGAATTGTTTAAGTGAATGCACCAATCACTTTAATTTCAAACACGAGCCCATTACTCTAGTAGTTTTATTTTTCTCAATATATTGAAATACTTTCCTTTTGAAAGTATTCTTCTTCCGTACTGTTGGAGAGTGTAGTGACCCAAATTTATGGATTGCTTTGTGTAGCTGTGTTCTGTTTAACATCTCATTAAGTCTTTATAAGGTTCTTTTACAAATATTTTGGTCAACCGACTTTTTATCATTCTGTTATTATCTACATACTTGTATACCTTTCTGGTCAAAAAAAAAACAATTTTTTTCTTCAAAACTATCAAATTGTTCATTGACCTCTCTTGGTAAAAACTGGAAGTTGGTATATTACTGTAATGATACTGATAACAATCGTCATCTTGTAAGTACTACACTAACCCTATTCCGTTTTGTTTTAGGTACAGAAGTATCAGTAATAAAAAATCCATACATACTTATATAGATTTCACCAAACTATCATTATGAAAATTGAAAAAAGCATATTTTAGTCATATCTTTTTTCTTAAAAGACTCATCAAACATAAATTTCTAAAGGAATTATCTTATATATCCTTTTAATTGTGTTATTGTTTTCGGTATTAAATAGCACATTCATAGAAAACTCCAATATATTTTTCTTGATCATTTAAAGCAATATATTTACGTAGTGATGTATTCACATAAACCAGAGAGTTAAATTGTTTGAAGCTCTGAGAAGTTTTGAATGTTCCTTCCATGAAATTGAGTATCAAATGAGTAAAATATAAATCATGACCAACCAGAATATCAGGAGATTACACTATGTTGTGTGCGAAAAAAAGAGAATATTAATATCTTATTATATTAGGGAAGATTTAGAAAAAACAAGTACAATGTTTGCAACATTTTGGCATTTCTGACTGATCAAATTAAATGTGACATTTACGCAAGTAAAACTACTTACATCTTTTATCATTTGATTCCCTCTTGTACTTTTTTTGTTTAAGCTGTATTCATCATCTAATAGTTTTGTTTTATTTTTCTCATTTTTTGAAGATAATTTCTATCATGACCAGATGTCAGCTAAACAAGTCATTGAATATTAAAGTATTTTGGACATCAGTTTTCACTTATTCTGAGAGTTTACTGTTTGATCGTTACACGGATTCAAATTGAGTACATTTAATTCTTATGCTAAGC